TTTGCAAGCCCTGCCACATCCGACAAGTGTCAGAGCCGATGTAGTACAATTCAATCTTAGTCCTGTATTCTGAAAAGAACAACATTGGCAGGGCAATTCAAGCATAGCCAATATGCAGTGATAATATATTGGGCCTATAGCCTACTGCACAAACCTAATTGCTACAGAACTGTTTTTAATTGGTTAATGTTGCATAGGCTCATGTTTAAGGCACGTTTTTTTTTTTTTTTTTTTTTTTTTCTGAGCGGTATATCGCGGCTTGCATTTTGACTCAAAGTGATCTTGACTCAGAAAAGGTTGGTGACCACTGACCTAAGCCAACTCCGTCTGTTTTGCCCCATTGTTGCGCAAGACTCTGTTTTGTTGCTAAACATCTAACCCTATGCTACCCTCTAGCTGGATTATTCTGCACTGCAGTGAGACAGCATACTGTAAAAGCCTACGGTGCTGAGCGTAACAGTTGCAGTGCTTACAGTCTCCAGTAGAGGCTGCTCAAGTACCATTTTAAACTTACAAACAGATATGCATGTATTGTACAACAGTCTGTCTATGGCTCTGATCAGCTGCATTAAAATATAAAAATATTATGAGATCCCAATCCAAGAGATGATTATAGGCTAATGTTATTAGATGACGTGGGTCACAACTGTTTGACTCAAAACGATTCTTACAACTGTCGACAAATTATGTCATAATATGTCTATGCAGTCCAAAAGGTGCTCTTCCTGGAAAATCCACGCATTATCAGACTAAATACAAACTATCACAGTAAGAGCTGGATCAGCTGTGCTGAAAAACCACACACCAAGTTTGGACCCCCCTACTCATTCAAGGGTTTTTATTTTTACATTGTATCATAGTGAAGACATAAAAACTATGAAATAACACATGGAATCACGTAGTAACCAAAAAAAAGTGTTAAAACAAATCAAAATATATTTTATATTTGAGATTCTTCAAATAGCCACCCTTTGCCTTGATGACAGCTTTGCACTCTTGCCATTCTCTCAACCAGCTTCATGAGGTAGTCACCTGGAATGCATTTCAATTAACAGGTGTGCCTTGTTAAAAGTTAATTTGTGGAATTTCTTTCCTTCTTAATGCGTTTGAGCCAATCAGTTGTTGTGTGACAAGGTTGGGTTGGTATACAGAAGATAGCCCTATTTGGTAAAAGACCAAGTCCATATTATGGCAAGAACAGCTCAAATAAGCAAAGAGAAACGACAGTCCATCATTACTTTAAGACATGAAGGTCAGTCAATACGGAACATTTCAAGAACTTTGAACGTTTCTTCAAGTGCAGTCGCAAAAACCATCAATCGCTATGATGAAACTGGCTCTCATGAGAAAATAGTACAAATAAAGAAAAACCTTTGAATGAGTAGGTGTGTCCAAACTTTTTACTGGTTATACAGAAGGTTAGTGCAATCCGGGAGATAGATAGATAAACATAGGCCAGGGCCCCAGTTTCCCAAAAGCATCTTAAGGTTACGTTATTCATTAGAACCTTCGTAGGAGCATCCTTAAAATCACCGAGCTGTTTCCCAAAACCATCGTTACTAAAGTTGCTCTTGAAAACACTTGTTTAACGACTGCCCCAGACCACTTGTAGAACAGCTAAGTAGGTCGTTAGACGTTTTTTTGCCCTTCATACACAGAATATCTCCACTAAACACAAAATCAATATGTTTATCTGTCTTTCTGTGACCGCCGATAACTTCAGACAGTGACTACAAATACAAAGTTGCCTATTTCTTTGTATAACAAGGATATGAAGACGCTTCAAATACAGTATAGGCTACATTGAGCTATATATTTGAATGATATTGAAATCAATTTCATGTTAATTCAATTGAGTTTTATTTAGCTATTTGTACGCTAGCCTACTGTCTAATATTTGCCTCAATATATTTAATGTGTAAGGTGCGCAATGATGTGCCAAATCTTGATTTAGTGCATTATTATAGGATACGCATTATAATAAGATGCCTCAATATTTGTTGCCATAGGTGATATCTCTCTAGGAGCTGATCCGTCGTCAGTATTGTGGAATAATTCTAATGTTAAAGTAAGATTGAAAAGGGAGAACGTTGATCCGAGAGCAGTGCAGTATTTCGATGCTATCAGTATCGACATGGGCCTCAACAACGCACTTAATGAACGTACTCTCAGCGTGGTGTTTTGGGAAATGCATGTTACATCTTCGGCAGTTGTAGGAAAGATGCATCGTTAAAACCTAAGTTCCATCACTATCGGGAAACCGGGCCCAGAGCTGTGAACCAAGTCCCATAACAGGTTTTTAGAGGTTCTGGTCCGTAAGTACTTCATTTCCAATAGAGAAGCAGAAGCAAAGGAACAAATCCAGGTATTTTGCATGACCTAACTAAAACAAATGACTGAGACAAGCGCCGCAATGTGTATTGACGCTTGTCTTATAATAACGCTGCCCTAATGATTCAGCACTTTTCAGAGAAGTGCTTTGTACAGTAATGACTGCAATATCATCCTTCTGCTTCCCTCTGGTCCTGGGCTGCATCTTTCTTTCTGGACATATGATAGCCTTCAGGGAAAATCACCTGGGGCAACAGCCAATAGTTGCCCTCAAATTAAACATAATTCCACTGATTCATTTGCTGAAATCCAGGAAGTTGGGTTCTTAGATTGGTAATACAGAAGGTTAGTGCAATTCGGGATCCTTGGGACGTCCACACCCTAATCCTTACCTTAACCATTTTAAATGTCAACTTCAATGGGTGACGTCAGAGTTGGACGTCCCAAGGATCCCGGATAGCAAGGTTCGAAGGCAGAACAACGCACTATCGCCTTCCTTCCTTCCTTGATGTAATCACCGATCTGACAAACTGAGATTGGTGAAAGCAATAGGCTGCAGACTGTGCAATCGCTTACAGATCAGTGGTTAATAAGGAAGGAAGGATGCACTTTAAAAAGTATTCAAACAGAGAAAAAATGACAACTACTGTATGTAGCTTTGCTGCACATGTACAGGAGCAGAGCGTTCCATTGGTGGCAAAAGCCCTGACTGCATACAGTACACTGGTCACAGAAATAGCAGCACCATTGAAGACCTGTCCTGTAGGTCAAAGTCCTGAGTAGTGACGTAGGATTGGGTACAGTGATACTGTAGGCAGAGACCCCGTACAGAAACAGCGCCAGGCAGTGAGCTCATTAAGGTCAAAGTCAGCAAGACAACCTTCGACCCTCTAGAATACAAATCACCCAGGATAATCCACATAAGGGAAGTAGCTAGGGTGAACGTTTTCTACTCCAGCAACGGGGAAAGTAAAATGCTGACTATTAAAAAAAGCTGTAAAAGTAAAAGTTCATTGGACAAAGGTTAAACGCATTATGACAGCAAGCGAGGATTAGGCAATCAGTAAAACAGAAACAAACCCTACTTGTTCTCCAACGCACGTGCAATAGAACCAAAGTACTACTGAAGAGCGACGCCTCCCATTCCGATGATGGATTAAATCTTAATCCATCCTGTTGGGAGCTGTCAGTTCCATATTCTCTGCAGTCAACCCACTATAAATGTTGAATACATTGTCGTCATTTTCAGCTAAATAACTATAATGGGAAACTAAAGCAGTCATTGTGGTGAAGCAGAGACCACACAACCAACCATGCTCTGACATTTAAAGATGGAGGTTGTCACTTTGTCATAGCACACAGGTCAAAGGAGGACATTTACCTACACTACATGTTCAAAAGTATGTGGACACCTGCTCGTCTAACATCTCATTCCAAAATCATGGGCATTAATATGGAGTTGGTCCCCCCTTTGCTGCTATAACAGCCTCCACTCTTCTGGGAAGGCTTTCCACTAGATGTTGGAACATTCCTGCGGGGACTTGCTTCCATTCAGCCACAAGAGCATTAGTGATGTCGGGCACTGATGTTGGGCGTTTAAGCCTGGCTCGCAGTCGGCGTTCCAAATCATCCCAAAGGTGTTCGACGGGGTTGAGGTCAGGGCTCTGTGCAGGCCAGTCAAGTTCTTCCACAGCGATCAACAAAACATTCCTGTATGGACCTCACTTTGTGCACAGGGGCATTGTCATGCTGAAACAGGAAAGGGCCTTCCCCAAACTGTCGTTGCAAAGTTGGAAGCACAGAATCGTCTAGAATGTCATTGTAGGCTGTAGTGTTTAGATTTCCCTTCACTGGAACTAAGGGGCCTAGCCCGAACCATGAAAAACAGCCCCAGACCATTATTCCTCCTCCACCAAACTTTACAGTTGGCACTATGCATTCGGGCAGGTAGCGTTCTCCTGGCATCCACCAAACCCAGATTCGTCCGTCGGACTGCCAGACGGTGAAGCGTGATTCATCACTCCAGAGAACGTGTTTCCATTGCTCCACAGTCCAATGGCGGAGAGCTTTACACCACTCCAGCCGACATTGCACATTGTGATCTTAGGCTTGTGTGCGGCTGCTCGGCCATGGAAACCCATTTCATGAACCTCCCAACGAACAGTTCTTGTGCTGACGTTGCTTCCAGAGGCAGTTTGGAACTCGGTAGTGAGTGTTGCAACCGAGGACAGACGATTTTTACGCGCTTCAGAACTCGGTGGTCCCGTTCTGTGATCTTGTGTGGCCTACCACTTCGCGGCTGAGCCGTTGTTGCTTCTAGACGTTTCAGCTTCACAATAACAGCACTTACAGTTGACCGAGCCAGCTCTAGCAGGGCAGAAATTTGACAAACTGACTTGTTGGAAAGGTGGCATCGTATGACGGTGCCACGTTGAAAGTCACTTAGCTCTTCAGTAAGGCCATTCTACTGTCAATGTTTGTCTATGGAGATTGCATGGCGGTGTGCTCGATTTTAAACACCTGTCAGCAATGGGTGTGGCTGAAATAGCCGAATCTACTAATTTGAAGGGGTGTCCACATACCTTTGTATATATAGTGTATTATATTAAATTACATTGTATTCTATCCAGACCCACCATGCTGTTGAGGTCTGAGTCGTAGCTCCCACAGGGGTGTGTGATGGTCCCAAGGGGCTCCAGACCCTCCTCGTCCCACATGTAGGTCCCCCCCGAGCCTGAGTCTGAGGGGGACAGGTCCAGAGATGAGCCAAGGGGGTAGTCTGCACCCCCGGACAGGGCCTGGCTAGCACGCCGAGACAACCCCCCTAAATCTCCTCTACCCCCTAAAACAGAGAGGAGAAGGCAGAGGTGTTACTCACCTGCTACCAAATCACTGAGGGAATATTGGTTAATTTGTTTTGGTTAGTATTATGGTATGTCATTTAGGGCCAGTGTCTGTGTCTGGGAAACCGGCCCTTAGTCTTTAAAGTAAATTATTTGGATTAATGTGAAATCCTACCAGTGAGTCCCATCCTGGCCCAGTCCACACTGTTAGACAGGAAGCTGTGAAGGCCAGTCATGGATGTTCCACCATGACGTCGGTTGACGTCTGCATTGTCATCATCATCCAAGTCAGGCTGTGATTGGTCGAGCCCTCTGTTCTGGGCAGGGAGCAGCAGAATGCCGTCTCCTCCATTTCCCAGGTTGTCAAAATCGTCCATGTACTCTTCGCTGGTGTCGTTGCACTCCAGGGAGGAGGTGGAGGAGAGTGACATGTCCTCCAGGCCTTCCCCCAGGGGATGGACCACACTCAGGGCCACAGGCTCCTCTAGCAGGCCCTCTGGGGTGCTCCCTGGGCTGTCAGTGATGCTGGTCGGGTCTGGAGTGACAGGGGGCATCTCCACCGAGTTCCTCCTCCCCTCGCTTTCCTCTGTGTTGCCATGGACCTTCTGGGAGGTGGCGGCCAGGACAGGGCGAGGCTGCTTGATGAGGGAGGGTCGTGTGAGCCTGTAGCTGAGGGCCTTAGGCTTGGTGGTGCAGGAGGCTGAACTAGGTAGTAAGGACTTCCTCAGTGTGATAGGTGGCAAGATGCAGCTAGTTGTTCCCACCTCAGCCCTGCCTGGTACTAGTCTAGGTCCACCCTTACTAAGATGTAGGCCGTTTCCTCTCCCCCCACTACTCAACACAGGGGTCAGTCTGGTCAGGGGAGATGTCTTGACCAGCAGGGACTTGGCTAGAGGCCTGGGCAGCTCCTTGGTCAGCTCCGAGGCCCTGTTGAAGGAGTAGGAGCGGATGATGGGTGGCACGGTGGGGGAGGGGATCCTCTTGACGTGGGTGAGGCTCTGGGAACGCACCATGTTCTCCTCTGTGGCCGTCTCCAGGCTGTCGCTGGACTGGGAGCGGGACAGGCTGCTGGTCAGGTTGCTGTGGGGAGAACCACGGCTCTGGCCCCGCCTGAGTGAACCAGTCCCAGACCGCCCACCACTACCCACCTGGCCGTTGAGACCCGCTTTGCCATTGCCGAGACTCTGTCCAGACGAGGCCTGTTTGAGGATGGCCCCGCGAGACCCAGTTCTGGAGCGTATAGTCCTGGGGAAGGTGGAGGAACACCCCTGTACCTTAACTGTGGCAGGCATGGTAGATGGCTTCTTAATCACCCGTACCACCATTGGTAAGTGCTGCGGTTGTCGGGGGTGATGCCCAGCTCCAGTTCTGTCCTCCTCCCGTGAGTCCACCTGCCTCTCCACAGGTTCTCCCCCTTTCCCCTTAAGAGAGGAGGAGGGGGGCATCCGGATTGTCCCGTTCTGCCTGGTGGTGGCAGTGGGTAACCCTTTGCCCGTGGTGCTGGAGACAGGGTGGTGATGGGTCCCAACGGTCAGTGGGGCGGTGCCAGCCACAGCCGTGGGGCGCGAGCCAAACTTGGGCAGCCTGGAGACCATGGTGGGCGCGTTGGGAACCGGATCTTCCATCAGCTGCCTTCTGGATCATGGGTGTGCAGGGCTGGCAGAGCTGTAGAGGGAAAGAAAAACAGATGGACGATTAGAGAAGAGGAGGAGAACAGGGGAGGAGGAGTAGAGTGGGAGGGCAAGACAGAACAAGAGAGGAGGAAAAATTGAAAGAAAGATTTGAGAACATCTCGTGCTAAAATGTTAACACCCCAAACCTGTTATTTCTAACACAAATTTAAATATACAGGAGGTAGACTTTAAGGCTATCAAATGCAGTAAAATAAATGACAAAGTCGGTTACTTTCTGTAAATATTCTATATGAGCTAATGAGAAAGTCAAACCTTTACTGCAGAGTAACTGTAAAAGATCAATAACATATGTTCTGGGAAAGCAGTCATTACTGTGCCCATTAAAGTGCCCTGGTGCTTCAAAAGGCTAGGGTGTGTGCAGACCTAGTGGTTAACTGACAGGGGCAGGCACTGTGAGTCAGGGATGGAGGGAGCACAACCACATACAATACTAGATACTGTACCACACCCTTTAATAATACCTATGCTACTGAGCCAATCACAACACAGCTTTCCTGACTGCACCCGCTCCTTGCACTGCTCTGACGTTTAGAAGGCTAGTGCTGGAGAGTATCTAACTTAATAACCTGTAGACTAAATCCTTTTGTCACCCTCGCATGTAATGTCACAGTAACAAAATTTGAAATTGTTGCCGTCCCCCACAAACAATAGTGATTATAATAAAATAACATTTTCAAGATGGTAAAACTAGACAGTCAGGGAGAATCTAAAATTCCCAAAATGGCATGGGGCCCCCATTGATTTAGTTAGAATGTCACTCAGATAGCATAAGCCAAGACAAAATGTGTAGAATTGCAGGAAATTAGCTTTAAAACAGCAACATTTTGTCGCTAACTAGGGGAATCACTGATGTACTAACATGCATGAAAACAACCCAAGATTCAAAACAGAGTTTTTCAATTAAAATTATTATACAAAATTCTTCCAATCAATAGAATGTTACATATATTGGGGATACAATCATCCCAGCTCTGCAGATTTGACTGTGAAGAGAACGAATCATTGGATCACTTGTTTTGTTACTGCCCATATGTAGCTTGGTTTGGTCGCAGGTTCAGGAATGGCTAAAAATCACAACATTTACCTAAATCTAACTCTGCTGGGTGACTTGAAAAGCCATAGTCACATTTTATTGGTCACATACACATTTAGCAGATGTTATTGCGGGTGTAGCGAAATGCTTGTATTCCTAGCTTCAACAGTGAAGTAGTACAGTGGGGGAAAATAGTATTTAGTCAGCCACCAATTGTACAAGTTCTCCCACTTAAAAAGATGAGGCCTGTAATTTTCATCATAGGTACACGTCAACTATGACAGACAAATTGAGATTTTTTTTCTCCAGAAAATCACATTGTAGGATTTTTTATGAATTTATTTGCAAATTATGGTGGAAAATAAGTATTTGGTCACCTACAAACAAGCAAGATTTCTGGCTCTCACAGACCTGTAACTTCTTCTTTAAGAGGCTCCTCTGTCCACCACTCGTTACCTGTATTAATGACACCTGTTTGAACTTGTTATCAGTATAAAAGACACCTGTCCACAACCTCAAACAGTCACACTCCAAACTCCACTATGGCCAAGACCAAAGAGCTGTCAAAGGACACCAGAAACAAAATTGTAGATCTGCACCAGGCTGGGAAGACTGAATCTGCAATAGGTAAGCAGCTTGGTTTGAAGAAATCAACTGTGGGAGCAATTATTAGGAAATGGAAGACATACAAGACCACTGATAATCTCCCTCGATCTGGGGCTCCACGCAAGATCTCACCCCGTAGGGTCAAAATGATCACAAGAACGGTGAGCAAAAATCCCAGAACCACACAGGGGGACCTAGTGAATGACCTGCAGAGAGCTGGGACCAAAGTAACAAAGCCTACCATCAGTAACACACTACGCCGCCAGGGACTCAAATCCTGCAGTGTAGACGTGTCCCCCTGCTTAAGCCAGTACATGTCCAGGGCCGTCTGAAGTTTGCTAGAGTGCATTTGGATGATCCAGAAGAGGATTGGGAGAATGTCATATGGTCAGATGAAACCAAAATATAACTTTTTGGTAAAAACTCAACTCGTCGTGTTTGGAGGACAAAGAATGTTGAGTTGCATCCAAAGAACACCATACCTACTGTGAAGCATGGGGGTGGAAACATCATGCTTTGGGGCTGTTTTTCTGCAAAGGGACCAGGACGACTGATCCGTGTAAAGGAAAGAATGAATGGGGCCATGTATCGTGAGATTTTGAGTGAAAACCTCCTTCCATCAGCAAGGGCATTGAAGATGAAACGTGGCTGGGTCTTTCAGCATGACAATGATCCCAAACACACCGCCCGGGCAACGAAGGAGTGGCCTAGCCAGTCTCCAGATCTCAACCCCATAGAAAATCTTTGGAGGGAGTTGAAAGTCCGTGTTGCCCAGCGACAGCCCCAAAACATCACTGCTCTAGAGGAGATCTGCATGGAGGAATGGGCCAAAATACCAGCAACAGTGTGTGAAAACCTTGTGAAGACTTACAGAAAACGTTTGACCTGTGTCATTGCCAACAAAGGGTATATAACAAAGTATTGAGAAACTTTTGTTATTGACCAAATACTTATTTTCCACCATAATTTGCAAATAAATTCATAAAAAAATCATACAATGTGATTTTCTGGAAAAAAATTTTCTCATTTTGTCTGTCATAGTTGACGTGTACCTATGATGAAAATTACAGGCCTCTCATCTTTTTAAGTGGGAGAACTTGCACAATTGGTGGCTGACTAAATACTTTTTTCCCCCACTGTTTCTAACAATTCACAACAACACACATGGAATTAAGAAATTTATAAATATTAGGACAAGCAATGTCGGAGTGGCATTGACTAAAATACAGTAGAATAGAATACAGTATATAAATATGAAATGAGTAAAGCGGTAAACACTTCAGACCAGCTGTATGTGCATGCTCTAAGGACGCGGCTAGGGATGCCGTCTGGGCCGGCATTGTTCAGCTTGTAATGGAGCAATATCGATAATATAATAATACTATATGTTAATTTTTGATTTTACAATCTGTAGTAACTGTGAGATTAGAAAGGTTCAGAACTTTTGTGAAACATCACAGCACCGTTGAAAAATATATGGCAAGTAGAAATCAAAACTAGATGGTTATCAGAGATACAGTGAGGGAAAAAAGTATTTGATCCCCTGCTGATTTTGTACATTTGCCCACTGACAAAGAAATTATCAATCTATAATTTTAATGGTAGGTTTATTTGAACAGTGAGAGACAAAATAACAAAAAAATCCAGAAAAACGCATGTCAAAAATGTTATAAATTGATTTGCATTTTAATGAGGGAAATAAGTATTTGACCCCCTCTCAATCAGAAAGATTTCTGGCTCCCAGGTGTCTTTTATACAGGTAACGAGCTGAGATTAGGAGCACACTCTTAAAGGGAGTGCTCCTAATCTCAGTTTGTTACCTGTATAAAAAGACACCTGTCCACAGAAGCAATCAATCAGATTCCAAACTCTCCACCATGGCCAAGACCAAAGAGCTCTCCAAGGATGTCAGGGACAAGATTGTAGACCTACACAAGGCTAGAATGGGCTACAAGACCATCGCCAAGCAGCTTGGTGAGAAGGTGACAACAGTTGGTGCGATTATTCGCAAATGGAAGAAACACAAAAGACCTGTCAATCTCCCTCGGCCTGGGGCTCCATGCAAGATCTCACCTCGTGGAGTTGCAATGATCATGAGAACGGTGAGGAATCAGCCCAGAACTACATGGGAGGATCTTGTCAATGATCTCAAGGCAGCTGGGACCATAGTCACCAAGAAAACAATTGGTAACACACTACAACGTGAAGGACTGAAATCCTGCAGCGCCTGCAAGGTCCCCCTGATCAAGAAAGCACATATACATGCCCGTCTGAAGTTTGCCAATGAACATCTGAATGATTCAGAGGAGAACTAGGTGAAAATGTTGTGGTCAGATGAGACCAAAATGGAGCTCTTTGGCATCAACTCAACTGGCCGTGTTTGGAAGAGGAGGAATGGTGCCTATGACCCCAAGAACACCATCCCCACCGTCAAACATGGAGGTGGAAACATTATGCTTTGGGGATGTTTTTCTGCTAAGGGGACAGGACAACTTTACCGCATCAAAGGGACAATGGACGGGGCCATGTACCGTCAAATCTTGGGTGAGAACCTCCTTCCCTCAGCCAGGGCATTGAAAATGGGTCGTGGATGGGTATTCCAGCATGACAATGACCCAAAACACACAGCCAAGGCAACAAAGGAGTGGCTCTAGAAGAAGCACATTAAGGTCCTGGAGTGGCCTAGCCAGTCTCCAGACCTTAATCCCATAGAAAATCTGTGGAGGGAGCTGAAGGTTCGAGTTGCCAAATGTCAGCCTCAAAACCTTAATGACTTGGAGAAGATCTGCAAAGAGGAGTGGAACAAAAATCCCTCCTGAGATGTGTGCAAACCTGGTGGCCAACTACAAGAAACGTCTGACCTCTGTGATTGCCAACAAGGGTTTTGCCACCAAGTACTAAGTCATGTTTTGCAGAGGGGTCAAATTCTTATTTCCCTCATTAAAATGCAAATCAATTTATAACATTTTTGACATGCGTTTTTCTGGATTTTTTTGTTGTTATTCTGTCTCTCACTGTTCAAATAAACCTACCATTAAAATTATAGACTGATCATTTCTTTGTCAGTGGGCAAACGTACAAAATCAGCAGGGGATCAAATACTTTTTTCCCTCACTGTAGATGGGAGGTTTTTAGGGTAGCTGAAGGATAAAAAAGGATAACTTACGTAAAATGTACAGTGTCCATAAAATGTATATAGTATGTATAAGCTTTTTGTGTGTGTGTGTGTGGGGGGGGGGGATCTACCGTTTAAAAAATAATGTAATATATACACAGAAGTATGTGGACACCC